TCTACCAGAGACGTGTACGCCGTCTCTACGTCACTCCTCCTCAGTCCTAATATGGTCACTTCCTGTTTACTGGTTGCAAAAGATCACTTCTTATATACAGTCGGAGGGTGTTTTGTACAGATGCTGATGGTTTCAGCTAACAATGTGTAGTTTCTGTGGAGAATAACGTGGTTTGGTTTTATGAAAACGTCATCTGACTTTCCCCTCCTCTCCTCCTCCTCGCCTCCTCTCCTCCCCTCCCCTCCTCCTCCAGCTCGGTAAAGGTTGCTCCCTCCACCTGGCCCAGCGCTGGAGCCAGCTGTTCAACATCCAGCTGAGGAGGATACCGATTTTATCCAAGGACTCGGCACCGGGACTCATCATGGCCACAGGTGGGACGACAAAGCAGCGACATCACTGATAAAGACGGGGTTTCAAGAAACACATGATGCTAAAAAAAATCCAGTCTACGCTTTAGTGCAAGAGTCGAGCACGGCTCCATGTGAGCGCTAAACTTCCCTCCTTATCTCTGTGCCTTTGAACGCACCATCCATATTCCTTTAGACCACATGAATCAGAGTAATGTTTGCATCACAGACTGTGCCTTTAAACCGCAGATTAATCTCTTTCCTGATCTACTCGATTGGACCATAAATCCTTGGTATCTGTGCGACGGATCGTTTGTAAAAGGTATCTTTTGGCAGGAATGTCTTCATGAGTAAAAGTGAGTCAAGGCCTTTGGGTGCCCTCTGTTGAAGGAAGGTCTCGCTGACTTGCTTGTGTTTTAGTTTTGCAGCAGCTTCTTCTTGGTCTGATCAGCCCGCCTGTAGACAGGAAGTCCTCCTCTGTGGTAAATGAGCCGTCTTCTGTCTTCCTGTGTTGCTTTGATACACAGGACATACGGTAGCACTCTGTGGAGAAGGTCCTAGGAGCTTCTTGTTTGGTGTGACAGAAGTTAGTTGTACTTCAGCTGAGTCAAGATAAGTTTTTTTTTTTTTTTTTTTTTGCTGTGAAAATGGAACAAAACAACTTAAGTTTCAGTGCTCGAGACTACGAGGTCGCCCCACCACGTGCACGCTTTGACGTACAAAGATAAAGATATGCAACACAGGATTTCTCGAACAAGTTTAGAAATGTTGTTGGCTTTAATACATTAGATCGGACGCCACTAGATACGGCTCCGCTGCTGTTGACTGTTGCAGAGGGGTGGATTCATCAGAGTGAAGAGTTCCTCTCTTCACAGCTGGTGGAGAGCATTGATTTGTTGATGCTCTCCAGTTTCTAGGAGACCGCTTCCCCTGCACGAAGCCAGTCACGCTAATTAAATTCTTATTGGAGGAGGAGGATGAAGAGGGGTGATCTCCGGCTCCATGCGCTTCGTTATCGCTCTCCAACAGATGAGCTAATTACGGCTGCAGCGGCCTCTCAAACAAACACCAGCTGCACAGATGTGTTTACACACAACAAGCTGAACAAGCTTTCTCTGGTGATTGTTGGGCTGGATATTCATTCAGAGGAGACACGTTGATCACATTCAAAGGTCTGCAGCAATCTGTTGACGCCATATTATCTTATTTCTCTGCTTTTTGTTGTAGTCATGGTCACACTATACCTTCATCCTGGATGTGGTGTCTGTCTGCGGGGGTTAAACATCTTTCAGTAACCGAGTTACTCGAGGAATCGTTTCCGCTCATATCTGCAAGGTCTCCGGTTCGATTCCAGCCTTGGGGACCTTAGTTGCATGTCAGAAATCTTGTGATATTGGATTTCTCTCCATATCTTCCAGCCCTCTGGAGCTCATCCTATCATCTAACATGCAGCAATCACTAGAGCCTTGGTCCGTGGCCTCTATACGTTTGATTTCATTCTGTTCCTGTGTGAAGGCCTGAACACATTGCTCCTGCTGATCTGCCTCATTGAATAACAGCAAACTGTCTGAGGAGAGGATTTGTCAGTGCATACACACATACAGAATGCTACGGTTTTGAATTCTTCGGTTACAAGTTTTTCCACATGTGAAAGCAAAAGCAGCGGCCACATCGAGTCTGTCATATTTGGGGGGGAAACCCCTCTAATGTGTGTGTGTGTGTGTGTGTGTGTAAAATGCCTTTTTGTCCTCTGATTGCAGGATCTGTCGGCAGAAACTTGGCCAACAAGCCCAACGTGTACGTATCCAGCAGCGCCGGAGCTCGCTGGAGAGAGGTCAGTACGAAACGTGACACCGACGACGAGAACAACAAACCGCTCGTCTGTCAGAGAGAGTTCCCGACACGTCGCGGTCAATTTCATTCCAGTGCTCGTTTAAGAACGCAGGAATTATGAACCTTCTGTTCTTTAAACCCGGACTGCAGCTCAGAGTGTAACTTGCTTCTGTTTTACTGCAGTGCGTCTCAGTGTTATGTCAGGTGCACTTTGTATGAAGAACTTTGAAAATGTTACTACTTTAGCAGCGGTGGAATATAACAGAAGTACATTCAGGCCACTCGAGGACTGTACTTAGGGTATATTTCCATTTTATTTAACGGTGTACTTGCTTTACTTTATACTGCTAGTAATACTGAAGACGTGTTGTGATTCGATGACTTTGTGTTATTGGGTCAAAGATAGAGCAACAGATCACAACACTCACGCTTGATGATCGTTGATGATCCATATTAACAGATACAGATCTTTGTTGTTTCATTATAGCAGCGCGTCCAAAAGGATCCATCCGTCACAAAAATCATTTCAACCGTCAGAAATACTAACTGTTATCCTTTTGCTGTTTATAGACGTCTATGGTGGTTTTTTTCTTCATAAAAATACAATTCAAACGATAAGGAAATAAAAGATTGTATTTTTGTAGATTAGTATTTTAAGCTTATTATAAGCTGCTTAATGGTATCGTCAACAGGTCATAATTATTAGTAAAACTTTATTTACACTGTGATGGTTAACGTTAAACTTTGTCATTTGTCCGTTACACCGCTCGTCAAAGATCTTTGTCCTGCAGATATCTGCACTTCACAATGAACTTCGTGGAGTATCATGTGTTTTCTGTTCCGATAGTTCTAGCGGACGTGTTTTCTGTTTTCCAGGCCCTGGCAGGCCCTCACTTCTACACATGGGGGGACCACGGTGGTATCCTGATGGCTATCGCTCAGGGAGGATCCACCAAACAAGTGAAGTGAGTCCAAGTGAAGGTTCATAAATAATATGTCATCATCCATATCATCATATCATCATTAGTGTGAAGCAGCTTGTTGCAGAGGAAGAAGACAAATAGACCCTCCCTCAGTAAACAGAGGTCTAATATAACATATGTATGCCAACAGCAGCTATTCCTATTCATGTGCAGGTGATAACATAATTAAATATATTATTTAAATATAATGTGAAAACAGTTCCCGTACTCTTGTTAATCAGTAACTTGTTCTTACCTTCAAATACACAAATGTCAATACAGCCGGGTTAAATATGCAGAGATGCGCCTTATTACCCCCCATATTCATATTTAATGTCTTGCTGCTGTTTAATCAAAGAATGCGTGGCTAGGCTGCAGATGAGAGGAAATTATGGACAATAAACAGCTGGGAAACGGCTGAAAGGTCGTTGTTGCTTTATCCCCCCCCCCCCCCCCCCCCCCCCCCAAAATGCATGTTTTCTGGAAACAATCGAGAGGGAGGGAGGGAGGGAGGGAGGGGGGGAGGAGAGAGAGGAGGGAGGTGGGGAGGAGAGAGGAGGGAGGAGGAGAGAGGAGAGGAGAGGGGAGAGGAGGGGAGGGAGGTGGAGAGGGGAGAGGAGGGGAGAGGAGAGGGAAGAGAAGAGGAGGGAAGAGAGGATGTAAACATGTAACATGTTGGATGTATAGATTCTATTGTTTTACAATTTTTGTAAAATAAATGATCAAAGAAGTTTTTTCTGATTGATGTGATAATAACTGTTATTCTGCACTAAAGACATGTTTGAGTCTTGGGTGGATTTATTAAATAATACGTTACACATCGTCACCATCAGGTTCAGCACCAACGAAGGAGAGACGTGGTTCGACTTCCAGTTCTCGGACCGGGCGGTGTACGTGTACCAGCTGCTCACCGAGCCCGGGGAGAAGAGCACCATCTTCACCATCTTCGGCTCCTACGCCGACCAGCGGCACGGCTGGCTCATCCTGCAGGTCAACACCTCCGACGTCCTGGGTAGGTAGGAGAGGGAGAGAGGAGACGGCTGCAGCCGGTGTGCAGCTTCCTGTTGAGGCTGCTCT